GTGGAGGAAGTGGTTTCAACTCCAACACCGGTGGCTCCTCAATTGATGGCTTGATTGGCCGAGTTTTGCGATTTTCAGGATCCAAAGATAGTTTCCTAGGCTCATATGAATATGAACCCATTCCATGCAATGCATTCACGTACTCCACTCTACCGACATCATCACTGGCATCCATGTTAAGAAGCACGACTTCAAGAGGATCTTCAACATTAATCAAAGCACTTGTGTCATCCACTATCACCGCCGTGACAATGTCCACAAATGAACACACCTCCGTACTATTGGGTTGCCTCATTGACTTGCACACATGAAATACTACCTTCTCATCACCCACACGGAATGTTAACTCCCCTGCTTCCACATCAACCAATGCCTTCCCCGTAGCTAGGAAAGGTCTTCCAAGAATAATAGGCACTTCGAAATCCACTTCGCAATCCAATATGACAAAGTCGGCCGGCAATATGAATTTGTCCACCCGGACAAGCACATCGTCGATTATACCTAAAGGCCTCTTCATCGACCGGTCCGCCATTTGAAGTCTCATTGAGGTTGGCCTAGGTTGCCCAATTCCCAAAGTCTTGAAGACTGAGTACGGCATCAGATTAATGCTAGCCCCCAAGTCACATAGGGCCTTAGCAAAGTCCGCACTTCCGATAGTGCAAGGAATAGTGAAAGCACCAGGGTCCTCAAGTTTCGGGGCCATAGAATGCATAATCGCACTAACTTGGTGCGTCATCTTTATTGTTTCACACTCCATAGAATGCTTCTTGGTGACTAAATCCTTCATAAATTTTGCATACCCAGGCATTTGTTCAAGTGCCTCCACTAAAGGGACATTGATTGTGAGGCTCTTCATCATGTCTATGAATTTCTTGAACTGATTGTCGCTCTTTTGCTTTGCTAACCGCTGAGGATATGGTGGAGGTGGTCTAGGCAAGGGTGCCTTTGCCTTGGGCATCGCCGGCTCGGGTATATCAATGATGTGTTCCCTAGACGGGTTCACGGTCTCTTGAGTCTCTACCCGGCTCATCATCATATCAATCCGCACATCATTTGTCACTATTGGTTCAACCACATTGTCAACACTCAAAGGCACATCTATCATCGCGACTCAACTTCATCATTCACAACTCGATTCTCATCCGAGCGATGCACATCACCACCTCTTCCACTCCTAGTTGTAACCGCCATCACATGATTGTTTACCCCCCTTCGGGTTCACTACCATTGTAAATGTAGCGCCACCATTAGGTCGATATTTAAAGCTTGAGAAATTTGTCCTATTTGCACCTCTAGGTTCCGGATAGATGTGTTATGTTGAAGCCAATTGTGCGTCAAAATCTTAGTTCTTTTTCATCATCTGCTCGACATCTCTATCCGTCCCATATCACTTCCGGAAGAACTAGGCCCTTGCGACTGAAAAGGGGGTGGATGTTTGGTTGTTGGAACATGGGGGCCTTTGAGAGCCTTGCCCCTTACCCATTATTCCACCTCCTTGATTGCTATTGTTGTTGCTCCATTGTTTGTGTTCGTTCAATTGCGCTTTGTTATTACTTTGACTTACCCCAATTGTTTCTTATTGTTATTTTCCAATGTTCACCTTGTTGTTGTTATTCCAATTGCCGCCTCCTTGTTGATTGCCCCAATTGCCTTGGGGGAGCCATTGTTGATTCCCTTGATTTCCTCTATTTCCTTGGTAAGTTATTGACATATTGGCATTCCTCACTTTGATCATCATAACACTCGTTCGAATAACCACCACCATCATTGTTGTTGTCAAATTTCTCACCATTACCTTGAGGTTGTTGTTGCCCTCTTTGCCTCCTTTTTAGCATAGAAACATTCTCCATTGCATTGACTTGGCGCGGGTTTTGTACTTGTTGCAATTGCGCTTTCGCCAACTGATTCATTGTTGTTGTAAGTTCGGCAATAGCTTGGCCATGATCACTCAACTCCTTTTGCAAATGGATAACCGTGGGGTCACCTTGGGGTACATTCGCTCGGCTTTGCCATGCCGAAGAGGTGTCGGCCATTTCATCAAGTACATCACATGCCTCTTGGTAAGAAAGTTTCATAAAGTTCCCACCGGCCAATTGGTTCACAATGCACTAATTCGTGGTGTTGATGCCCCTATAGAAAGTCTGCTGGATCATCGCCTCAGTCATGTCGTTGTTAGGGCACTCCTTCACCATTGTTCTATATCACTCCCAGATCTCGTGCAATGGTTCCGTTGGCATTTGCTTGAAAGCTAGAATCTCGTCCCGAAGAGCTGCCATATGACTTGGAGAAAAGAACTTGGCAATAAATTTGTCCGCCAATTCATCCCATGTGGTGATAGAATGATTTGGTAACCTTTCTAACCAGTCCAACGCTTTGCCCCGAAGAGAAAAAGGGAAAAGCCTCAATCTCAACGCATCCTCTGACGCGTTCGTTTGTTTGCTGCCCCAGCAAGTATCTACGAACCCCTTCAAGTGCTTGTATGCATTTTGGTCGGAGGCGCCCGTAAAATATCCCCTTTGCTCGAGCAAGGTCAACATGAAATTTGTGATTTGAAAGTTCCCCGCCCGGATTCGGGGAGGAACAGTGGCACTCGCGTACCCTTGATTAGGAAGAACTCTTGGGACTGCTCTTGGCGGTGGCGGAGGAGGGTCTGGAATAGGATTGTTGTCATTTGCGTTGGCCGGACGGCCTCTACGTGGAACTTGAGGTGGTATAACCTCTTCGGGCTCAAGATCCTCTACCTCCTCCCCCGCGTTCACATTGCCAAGAGGGTCGTTTGCATTGAGAGCCATAGTACCTGAATGATTGACACAAGTAGAATTAGTAAACAAGAAGGAAAGAGAAGCAAAACACAAAACTAACTAAACCGATAGTCAACACCGTAAGCTCCCCGGCAACGGTGCCAAAAAGTTGATCGCGGCCGTCTCAACACTACACAATGGTAGGAAGAGTGGGTAGCAATAACTAATACCCGAATAGTGGGCCGGGGTCGAAATTCCACAGGGAGATAGTAATGGAGTTATAATATCGGTCTAGCCTAGAGTTGCGGTTGTGCTTCTAATATCACTTCTAACATTTTTGGTTTAGATTTTTATATCTTCTACTTTAAGACTAATAGATGAAGCTAAATTATGCTATGGAGATATTGCTAAGTTGTAATTAATATCGAGAAAGGGACTAGGGTCGTGGCGTTACTTAGGTGGTTAACCAATGAGTAGATGATACTAAGGATAAGATGATATACTTGGGGCTTATGCTATAACTGTTGCACAATTGCACCCACTCTCACACCTCTCGGTTGAGAGAGTGATTTTGCCCAATCGACTCTCTCGAGATCAATTGGGTAGGCCAATTAGACCAAGCAACTAGGGTTCAAGTAGGGTGATTACTCTCTTGAGATTTAACCCGTTAATTGGGGCTACCATTCCTCATGGGTCCATCCCAATTCCTTGTTGGGTCAATTTTGGGGTCATGGACTCTCTTTCTCAAGAAGAGTTAAACCCTCAAAGCTAAAATCAGTGTCTGCAACCACCAATTCTAAATTAAAACCTAAAATTAACCCAAATAGCAAACACCCAATGTCATCCTAACCTTAGATGGCAACACCCATCAATTACCCACACTAGGGTTGAGCCACAACCCTAGCTAATGGGTTTAGCTAGACATAATTAAAGAAGAAACGATAGAAATAGATGATGAAATGAACATAATAATTGATTACTACTTAAAATCTATGATATTCAAGAGTAAAAATGCCAAAATAGGCTACAAAATACTTCTCACGAGCGCAACTCTTGTTCAGCAGCTAGAAACATAACCTAAAAATGTTAAAAAGATCTATTTATACCGAGCTAGAAAATTTGGACAAAAATGCCCCTGCGGGGTAGGCGCGGACCGCGCAAAAAGGGAGTGCGACCGCGTTGGCTCTTGGACTCTTGAACTCTGTTCTCTGAAGTTGGGACCGCGGACCGCGCAGAAATATAGCGCGGCCGCGTTTGAAGACGGGCGCGGACCGCGTATAAATGGAGCGCGGCCGCGTGGCAGTACTTTGGCAAAAACACCATCTCTCTGAATCTCATCCACGCAGACCGCACTGATTTGTAGCGCGGCCGCGTGGAACTTTTCCTTGAATTTGCAAGCCTCTGAACTTCACAAGCGCGGACCGCGTAAAGAGGAGCGCGGACCGCGCTAGGTCTTCTTGTTCCCCACTTTACTTGGTCTTTGTCACTTGGCAGGTTTCACTCCGTTTTGAGCCGATCTTTGACATTACTCATCTTGTCGCTCAAACCTGCAATCAAGCGCAACTTGTAAGCAATTTGGGACTATTTTGTGGCAATTCATAACAAAAGCAATATCAAGTTGGGGTATAATCATGTTGAAATCCTAACTTATCAGGGACCCCTTCTTGGATAAACCCTCGGCACAAGATATACAAGGAAGATCTCACGAGAGAGGGTCGCTACTGGCTCAGTTTTGTGACTTCTCAATTGGTGCCAACCCAGAATAAGACTGAAATAGCCATTGAGAAGGCTCTTCTCATTGCTTGTATCATGACGGGTATCAAGATAGATGTTGGAGATCTGATTTTCCAAGAAATAGGGATCCGAGCAAAGCAGCAGGCCACTTCACTTCCATTCCCTTGCCTTATCACAACTCTCTGTAAAGCTGTGAAAGTTCCCTTCATGCCACACTATGACAAAAACGGGAAGGAGACAAGGGACATTGATATCACTCGTATTACTGATGTTGCTGTCCCACCACAGGTTCAGATTCAAGATCCCCTTACTGTAAAGCCTTCCGATTCCCAAACTCTGTTGACTCCTCAGTTTACAGTGGCATCCACTTCTACGTCCGAGCCTGCCTCTCAGTCTACCACTGTTCAGCCTTCTGTTGCCATTCCAGCCGTCTCAAAGCTTGGTCTCCTGGCTTAGCATGCCAATGCCAAAGTAGACCAGCTCTTGAAGACCTTGCCCAACCTCATCAAACAAGCCCTGACGCTAATGCAAACCTCAGTGACAGCTATTCAAAAACAACAATTAGTGTATGAGAATCATTTGCAGCAACTTGAGTTACGGTTTGAGAAGATCGAGCGGGGTGAAGTTAGTGGGTTACCGGGCCTCAAGGAGGAGGTTGCTTCTATGAAGACCGAGCTCCACAAAATGCAGAACTTGGAGTTTGATCTGTCATCCCTCCTTCCAACAGATGGTGATCAGGTTACAGGCACAGCAGCTCCGGACTTGGGCCTTGACTTCTCTACACTCATGACTGACACTGCCCCTCCTACAGCCGGGACTTCCCAACCTCCATCTCCGCCTGTACGCATTGACATTCCTGATGAGGAGGTTTTCGGACGATCTACTGAGTCTGAGGATGAGGAGGCAGATGAGGGTGAGGAGAAGGAAAGTTCATGGTCCTCGGAGGATGATGGCCCTCAGGAGAAGGGCAAGCATGTTGTTGTTCCTACAAATGAGGAGGTGGAGCAAGCAAAACTTCAGACAGCAATTGAACATTCGCTAGCAGATTTGGCCGCCCCTGCAGATTCATCGGCCACTCAGCCATCAGTGGGCGAGGCTAGCAGCTCACAGGTCCCAGCTCCAGCTCCAGTTCTTGACCAGCCAGAGATCCCTACTGCAGTCGAGGTCCCTCCTCAGACCGAGCCCTCATCGGTCCCAGCTTTAGCATCGGAGAGTGACCCCACCACCACTGAGCAGGCTATTGACTCCCATAGTGCTTAGTGCGCCTCAGGGAGCCCCTTACACTCTATATTTCTTTTTTATGCATTAGGGACAATGCATGCTGTTCAGTTGGGGGTGGTAGCCTTATTGGTACTTTTGTGACATTGGTACTTTGGTAACATTAGCAACTGTTGGACATATGTGTATATTGTGCTCTGTGTATGTTAGTATAATTTCCTTACATAACTTGTGTTGTGTAGTTTGTGATCATGTTTATATTAGTGTTTTTGTGATTTCAATGCATAAGTTATGACACCCTTGTGAATATGATACCCTGTTGCATGTATAAAAAAAATAGATATCAACTGTGTGAACTTGAGGCTCGCTCTGTGACTCTATGTCTACCTAGAGTTATACTTGTACATATGATGAAAGCTTTGAGTTGCCAAGTGTTGACTCAAGGGCTTCAAACTATGTGAGCCAAATAGTTCGTGTGCCATGTGTGTGAGTTCTTTGTGTAAATATTTCTTGTGTTTGCTTCTGCCATCTAGAACTTGCCCGGTTGGTTTTTCGATGCTTATAATAGTTACACTTGGTTGGAGAGATGACCTTAGGCAGTCTTTGTGATCTTTCAAGCCAGTTAGCCTTTCAAGCCACCCATTGTGCAGTTAATATCCCTAGTCACCCCATTTGAGCCTTTAACCTTTTCTTTGGCTACCTCATTACAAACCTTTCCCCTTTTTGTAAAATAATTCCCTCTTTTGAACCCGTCCCTCCTTGAACATTGAGAATGAGGCTAAAAGCCTAAGTTGGGGGTGTGGTGTTAAAATGGAAATTGGTAAGGTTGTACATTGAGTGTAGGATCATATACCTCAAAGTGTTGGTGCTAAATTATTCAAGCTCCAAAAAGAAAAAAATGTATATAAAAAAAGAGAGAGAAATATTAGTATGTATCTAAATTATGGAGCCTTGAGGAAAGTTAGAGAGGTATTTAAGGTGGTTCTAAGTTGGGAACTAGATGCCAATGAGGCTTTGTGGGTTGAAAAGGAACATAGTGCAAAAGAATGAAATATGTGAGTAGTGTTCAAGGAGGGTGAAGTCACTTGTATCCAAATGCTTATCCCACCCTTCCCTAAACCTACATTACAAGCTTAAAAATTCCTTATGGGATCTCCAACCGAGCGTTCTTAGAATAAAGCGATGAATTAAAATAAGGGCAAGCCTATGGTATGGTATGTTGAAACACTTGAAACTCTTTTCTGAGAGTGAGTGTCTTTGTGAATTCGTCCCTTTTTGTTTTGTTGTCATTGTACATGCTGTGATTTTGGGACATTCTTTCTAGTGAGGGCACATGAACTGTAAGGTTGAATAAAAGTTGAGTTTTTGAGTCAAAGGCAATTGCACTCAGCTGAGGGTAGCATTTTGTCACATTGTCTGAGGCTCAAAGTTCACAAGTTGATTAGTTTTCCTTGTACGTAGTGATGGTTCAGGAAGGGTAAAGCAATCGAAGATGCATGCTTGAAATACTAACAACTAACACCACCCCTGGTCACTATTGTTTCATGTTTTGTAGATAGAGTCTAGAATAGGTTGGTGTTGTTTTAGTTGCTTGAGGACAAGCAAGAGTTTAAGTTGGGGGTGTTGATGTGCCGGAGAATTTCGGCACATTTCAATACTAATTGCTTAGATTTTAGCTTATTTCAGATGCAATTATCTCCTTTATTTATGTAATTTTAGTGTTGTTGCAGTACATGAGGTTTAAGGACCCAAGAGCATGGAAATGAAAGCAAAAAGTTACAAAAAGACGAGAAAAGAGCAAAAAGGCATCGCAAAGGAAGATATGCGGTCGCAAAATGACAATGCGGACCGCATAATTGACACTGAGATCGCAGATCACAACAGAATCCTGAGCAAAATTCGACATCAAGAATGCGGTCCATTCTGCGACCGCATAACCTGTTTGCCAGCCGCAAAATAGACCGCAAACCAACCATGAAGGCTGTTGAATGAAGAAAGTGCGATGAAAACTGCGATCGCATTTCTACAATGCGGATCGCATAACATGAATGTGGTGAAGGCCTGGAAATTAGGGTTTCAATCTGCGATGAGGATGTCCAAAATGCGGACCGCATGTGCTCTTTGCGATAAAAATACGGTCGCATATCTGACCTGAAAGGGCATTTTTTTCCATTTTCTGTCCCGATTTTCAGTACACTATAAATAGATTTATTAGATTTTTGTGGGCTCATCTTGTCTAGTTTTTGAGCTACATTCCAAGACTTAAATATTCTTCACTTTTGGAAGCTTTTGGGTCAAGAATCTTTGCTTTGTAAGCTTTATGGCATTTATTATTCTCTTGTTTTTGTATTTTAGTATGAGTAACTAACTTTAAATACTAAGGTTGTGGACCCTAAATGGGTGTTATGTTAATGGGTGTTTAACATTGAATATATATATAGTGGTTGGTTGATATTTATTTACTTCTCATTCTTCATTTATTGTTGGTGGTTGATGAGTGGTGATTTTACCACTCATTCTAGCCTCTTTTCCTTAGCTTTTATGTCCTTTTAATTATAAAATGAGGTTGTTTATGGTGGTTATTGTTAGATTTTCAGGTACATGATGCTACGAGGTGATTTGAGTTGAATTGAAGCGGAATTGAGCTAAAAAGAGTGAAACAGTGCAAAACTCCAGTGATTCTGCTTCTGCAGAAGTTTGCTCACAGAAGCGACCCCGCTTCTGCGTAAATACAAACGCTTCTGCGGTTCAGGTATGGATTGAGAAATTCCGCTTCTGCGGAGGAAAAGGCGCAAAAGCGGTCACGCTTCTGCGAAGAGCGAACCGCTTTGCGAAA